GTAGAATATACCTTGACAAAGACTAATTTAAAAACCCAATTTTTACAGAAGTCGCTATTTCACGCGGACGAAGTCGCGGGTAACAGCTAGTGTAGAATAAAAAACCAAATTATATGGAATTGACGTAAATTTTGACACTTGTCAGTGTCATCCCCATACATTTTGATTTCTACTCTCTCTGTAGACAAGCGCTAAAGTGGCGTTTGGCTAAAGGCCCTGGCGCCCTAGGCACTTGTTAGTTTGCATTAAGGATAATACGGTTCTGAGGTGACTCGTTGTCATTATACTGTCACAGATTGATAATATTGATTTATTCCAGGTTTGACTGTAAGAAGCGTTTATACAAATACTACTTTCCTCGATCGTTGCTTAACATTCAGGCTATGAAAGAAGCCTGTAGTTACTTAACAGGGTCCAATGATTACCGCAATCTTTGCAAGATGGATGTTGGTAATGGTGTGGTCGAGTTTGTCAGGGAAATTATATCTGCTGATATTTTACCTGTGAACCCTAGTGATGTGGATTCCGGTGAGTTGATTGTTTTATTTAAAGGGTTTTACTTAACTTGCCCCGTTATTTTGTTTGTTAAATACTTGCTGGATGTTATTGGAAGGTTGAGGTGTAGCGGGTTTGTTCCATAACACATAAATGCAGTTTTATGTCAAACGGTTTCAATGAGCTCTATTCTACCAATCAAGCCCTTTGCGTTTGATATCCATAATGGAGGTAGTTATGGAATAAAATAATAATAATATTGTATGGTCATTCGGAGTAAGAGTGTGTACCAAATATCAGATCGTTCTATAGTCAGAAAGGGGGTGGAATCAAGTTACTTTTGACCCAAATAAACAAATGAGGGAAGTTAAATTAAATCGTTTAGAAACATATTTATTTAATGAATACAATAAACTTGTTCGTCTTTAAAAATTATGAAAGCTATAATTTCCTTCCAGCTACATCAATGTTCTACCTCCAGATCGAAGGTAACGCCTTCCTATGGCATCAGATCCGGTGCATCATGGGCGTACTCCTGCTCGTCGGCCAGGGTAAGGAGACGCCTGGAGTCATCAGGGAGTTACTTGATGTGGAGAAAAATCCTAGGTGTGATCTGTTAGAGAATAAAGTTAATTTTATTACTTTTTCGGCTTCATACATAAAGCGTAAAATTAACTGTCTCAGTAGCGCTCCTATTTCCAAACCGAAACCACCTTCAACCGAAGAAAAGAGCGTACTTCTTTGTAAAAGGCCGGCAATGCAGTTGTGACTCCTCTGGTATTGCGGGCAGAGCAGTAATATCTATTAGACAAATTAGGCAAGTGTAAGGGCGCCAGTGGTTACAGACGAGCGCTACGAGACGCCAAACAGCCCACAAAGTGGCGACGGTGCCAAAATAATTAGGAGCGCCTCTAAGGTGCTTGCCTAGGGTGCTGTCTAAGTTTAATCCATCTCTGGTTACGGGTGTCCTTGGGCTACGCTGACGCTTACCTATAGGTGATCAATCCGATGTGATGCCATAAAATAAGGTTTAAAATGTTTTTTTCAAAGTCAAAGTCAAAGCAATTTTATATTTAAATTAATCCTTATTGGGTACTTTCCAATTCCAACTAGTGAAATTCAATACTTTTTTCGAACTGTCAAAAACGGTATGAGATTGTGTATTGTGACGTCACGTTTTATTAGCGTCAAATAGCATTCTTATTTCTTACATATTTACTGGAATAATACTAAAATTAAATTATTCATAAAATCCATTTTTTGAAAGTGTGATTAATTAATAATATTTTATACAATCGAAATAATTTATTTTTAATTAAGGCAAGTACCCATTCGTCCGACCGTTAGTCTACTAGTGAACCTAGGCGCTTTTGTATTATTTTTTAATTTACAATATAGCACCCATTTTTCACCAATTATGTTATAAGTCCGGTCAAACCAGCCCATTCGTGTCGATATATAAATCTCCCACATCAAATATTTTTTTGTTACTAGGAAACCTCAATATAATATGGCGCTGGACTTACCTCTGAATTTATTTCACTGTTCGTATGACATAACTGAGGGACAAAGCTGGAGGTGCAGCAAACAGGGGCTGGCAGAGGTGCTAGGTCATCTGCAGAGCGAGTGGACAATGCATAGTATCAAGTAAGTAGGGTCGAAGCATTTATTCCATGTGTTTTTATAATTACTATCGTTACACATACTAAATTAACTAAAAATCGCGGACTGCACACGCTGCTATCAGCAGAAAGAGCCTCTGTGTCTCAAAACTAGTAGACATTTTCTCAGTATATTCACGTGTGAAACCCGCGATTTTTTGTCCATATCTTGTATGTGTGTAAACACACCCACGACAGGGGAGAAAATCTTAGTGTGGGGTGACGATTTAAAAAGAAACTGCCCACAGCCCGCAGTTTTTATCAATACATAGTATAAAACAAAGTCGCTTTCGCTGTATGTCCGTATGTATGCTTAGATCTTTAAAACTACGCAACGGATTTTGATACGGTTTTTTTTAATAGATAGAGATATTCTTAAGGAAGGTTTATATGTATAATACATGCATATTGCACCCGTGCGAAGCCGGGGCGGGTCGCTAGTGTATATATAAGTCTACTTTTAAAAATAGAAGAGGAAAAAACATCCAGACCCGTATCATCCCTTAGGCAAACTATGCAAGTGCCTAGGGCGCCAGCAGCTGTAGCCAAATGCCATTTAGCGCTTGTCTACATGTAGAATAGAAAACCAAATTATATGAAATTGACGTAAATTTTGACACTTGTCAGTGTCAACCCCATACATTTTGTTTTCTACTCTCTCGGTAGACAAGCGCTAAAGTGGCGTTTGCCTCAAGGCGCAGAGGTTACAGAGGGGCGCCACGAGGCGTGCGTGCCCACCTGACTATAGAGCGACAGCGGCGCCAAAAAAATTTAGGGCGCCTATGAGGTGCTTATCTAGGGCGCCATTAGGTTTAATTTTGCCTCTGCCCACCCCTTATATGATATCCTTATATTTCAGAACAACAATGATAAAAGAAGTCATTAACGAAATTGAATCGCTATATAGCAAGTGTGAGAGCGAGACAGCGAATACAGACAGCCAGGAGAGAGAAGAGGACAGAGTTATAACGTATGCTGATTGTCTCCTACAGGGTGTTAGAGCTAAAGTGTATAAGCCGTTATTGAAGAGAGATACCTGTTGTAAGTATATTGGATTTTTGGCCATATCGACGTTGAAATTAGGGTTATTATTTTTGCTTGTATCGAACAAAAATTCGTTGAATTTAAAACCTTATTCCAGTATTTCCAGTTAACACTTGTTATAAATGTAGAACTAAGATCTGTCCGTTGAATTTTAGACCTTATTTTCGTGGGAATTAAAGCTGTCTTTAGTTAGAGGTAGATATATGAAATCTAAATCTTTCTGGCTTTTGAAATAAAGTCGGAAACTACTAAACAGATTTCTTTGTAGTTTTATTAATTACTAGCGAGCGGCTTTATCAGCGCTCCCGTGGGAGAAAAAGTAGTCTATATGTTTTATAATAACTATCGTGAGACATACTAAATTAACTAAACTTCGCGGGTTACTCACGTGAATATACTGAGAAAAGGTTCTTTCTCATGAGCAGTGTGCGCGACCGCTGCTCATGAGGAAGAACCCCTCTGTGGTTCGAAACTAGTAGAGCTTTTCTCAGTATATTCACGCGAGCAACCCGCGATTTTTAGTTAAGTCGATTCGGTTCTCAAAAATAAACTTATTATTATACATTTTAATAATTTCATTACAGCAAGCCTAGAAGAAAGAATAGAGCATTATAAGAAGAGAAGAAAATTAGCTGATCCCAATAAGGAAGCAGAAGAAAAGATGGAGTTGTAAATAAATATAAATAAACATTTTATACAGAAGAGTTTTTATAATTATCTCTTTCTCTTTCTGTCTCTATTTGTCTCTCACACACGCTCTGTCTTTCTTTTTGTAAACGTAGCGTTAACAAGTGAAACTGACCACGGAGCCGCGGAGGACTTAACGGGTTGCTGGGGCTTCGGCTCGAAGTGCAGGAGTAGGAACGGGGTGGTTTTTAATCAGTAACAGTCTGACACTCCCTCCTGCCTCATCCAGGCGAAAAAAGTTATTGGAAGATTACCTACCTTAACAATTGAAATAAAGGATAAGAAATATTTCCATTTACCCTACCCATTATTATATTTTCGATTGGAAACCAATATCGGTAATTCATATGAACTGTTAAAACCTCGACTAGTTTCGAGTCTCCTGGGACTCATATTAATGAGGTACGTATGCAATAGACGACGTTGCACAGTCAATTGTTTTTAAACAGTTCGCTTGATACTACAAGATCCCTAAGGCAAATGCCTAGGGCGCCATGAAACAGGAGGGCGGCGCAAGACGCACGTGCCTAACTGCACACAGCGGAGGCGGCGCCAAAAAAAATTAGGGGCGCCTATGAGGTGCTTGCCTAGTAAGGGCGCTAAGTTAAATCCGCCTCTGGGTAAGCAGAGGTGCGGATACCCATATACATTAATTTTCAGCTCTTTATTTTATGAGTCCTGATTCCTGGATCATCATCATCATATCAGCCATAGGACATCCACTGCTGAACTCTCCCCCAAATAAAAAATGAAAAATTCCTGGATGAAAGTTTACAGTGTTTCTAGCTAACTTTATGAGAATTTTTGAAATCGAGAGAACCCAAACCTGTGACCTTGTTGTACTCGGCAGTCATGCTTGTAGAGTAGCCACTCGACTATTATTACAAGGCAGTTTATAATTTTAATTCGTTATTGTAACAAAATATTCGAATCCGCATTTAAATTTTAACATTAAAAGTTAAACTCATTACAGCGATCATCTCATTATAAAAATAAGGTCATTGCGTTAGTCGATTAAAAAAAATAAAAAGCGCGCGAATGACCTCAAACAGTAGCGTTATTTTGTTCAGTAATTGTCACCGCAATTATTGTAGCATTACCTACAACTACTGTAGGTAATGCTGAGGTACCTACTGAGGCACATATTGAGCTAAACAGATCCAGTTGATCATGGTCTCGCTTCGTATGACGTTTCTGAACATTCAGCGGTCAGCTTAAACTAGTTTTGTATCGCTTGATGTGTCTTATAGTGCTTAGTGCGTGGACCGGCCGCGGCTAGCGAACGTCCAATACTATCCCGCCATACTTCTTGAACAGTATTAGAAGGCCACTCTAACCGGACAGCGGTGTTTACGCGTCGCAATTTCGACACAGAAAAACTTGGATATCCTCCTTACATTCGTTTAAATTAAAACAAAAACAAAACGCGAATCAAATTTTTTCACGCTCTTCAATTTTTTTTAAATATTATAACCCGGCTAAATAATAATGGCGGGTTTATGTAAACCAAAAGTTCCGTATCCGCGTTCCGTTTTTTCGGTCGGATAATAGAATTTTGACAGTTCGATGAAAATATTTACGTGACGTGCCTGTTTGTGGAAAAACTTTTTGCGAACGAAAAAAGTTTTTTTGAAGAAAGTTTTGGATTTGTAACTTTTAAATTGTATTAAAATGTATCTATTTCGTGTTGTGAGTGTGTGATTATGTGTTGTCGACGTAAACTTATGGATTACTTTTTTAAGGTGTGTATTTTAATTGTTATTCTCTAAGTTCTTATTAAAATGTCTAATTAAACTCAACTCACTGTCCGAATTTCAATTATAGTTACTATAAAGTACAAGACCAACAAACTAACTCACAATAAATTATATTATTCTCATTAATTAGGTAATGCTAAAATAGGTTTAATTACTTATATTTTTGTAAAATGAATATGATAAAGCATAGATCAGTGGCACGACCATTAAAAATCCAACATCGTTAAAAGAAGAAGGCTAAGGTCCAACAATAAACAGCCATGAATTGAACATATCTTTGGTATAAAAATTTAATTTGCTTACCAAAAATGGAAGTCAAATTTGCAGTTATTCATTATAATAATGTAGTTTATGCATGTATTTTTTTGCTAGCTAGTTATTATAACTAACTTATTTGGAAAACTTAATTTGATTGAACGAAAAGTAATACAATTATTAGGCAGAATGGCTTAATGTCGGAGTCATTAAGTTTATTTCTTTTGCTGTAATATGGCTGCTGTTTTGGTTTCTGTGTAGCACATTATATTTTTATAGTAGTGATTTTATTATTGAAAATTGGATTCATTTAGACTTAGACAACCAATAATTGCTAAATATAAACTTTACTAAAGATATGAATTATATGTTTTTTAGTTTTGTAATTGTTAGGTAAGTGGTTACAGAAATATTTTATTCTTGAATGAATATAAAAAATAGGGTTAGTGTCCTAAATGCTTTTTAAAAGGACATTCAAGTAGTCTGAAGAACATGTCGGTTCTGTAAATTATTTACAGGGATTTTATCAGAAGTTATTATAAATTTTTGTGTGTTCTATACATAGAGTTAATTCATTGATATATCACACCCAAAATAAGTTTATACAAAAGTAGTCTCTAAACATCAGAAATAAGGTTTACAATGGAGTTAGTCGAGAGTGGTCACTACATGGTTGCATGGATTATATAAAACTGGTAATGTACAAAAGTCCAATTTCGCAAGCTGTCCCCATAGCTAGTAGAGTTGTCGCGGAGAACCTGACCGGTTACCGGGGCTTGGGCTCGCCGTGCAGGAGAAGGAACGGGGTGGTTTTTAGTCAGTAAGAGTCTGACACTCCCTCCCGCCTCACCCAGGCGGGAGCAGTCCTTCGATGATTATCCCTGCTTAAAAAAAAGCTAGTGGAGTTCATGAGAGTTTTCATCATGCTGTGTTTTACGACCTTATTTGTGAAATGATTTCCTTGACAAGAAATAAATTTTAGCAACTCATAGTTAGGGTTGTGAGCCAAGTGCAATGAAATATTATGGTCTGGCTCGGAGTAGGAGTAGAGATGGTGTGAATTTTTAGTCAGTAACAGTCTGTCACTTCCTCTCACCTCACACTGGGTTCCAAATCGTTAATTTTCCACTCTCAAAAGAAATAGTTTCTTCCAATAGTTAATATAAAATGTGTCAGTAATAGACATGAAACCAGCTGTTTTAGTATAGTTATTCTAACAATAATGTAATTCATTACCTATATTTTGTAACATAATATTATGCCTTTTAATTATCGAGAGTGGTTTCAGACTGGCACAGAAACCACATCCAATTCTCCCCAGTTTTTAATGAGACCCATGTGAGTGAGGGCGAACCTATTGCCATATACTAAGTATAAATTCAGGCATCGTCCTATTAAGTATTTAGGAAAATTCCGAAAATTCGAAATCGGCCAGAGTATTGAATTTTAAACTCGTCAGGTTATAAATGCACCTGACGACGCTTCCAATGAGATATGCAATCGTAGTCGAAGCTTTAATTGTGTTAGTTACAGGGGCATATTATCCCTAAGGCAAACTAGGCAAGTGCGCTAGGGCGCTAGGTTACAGAGGGGCGCCGCTAGACGCGCGTGCCTAAATGCCCACAGTAAGAGTGGAGGCGTCGCCAATAAAAAAATTGGAGCGCCTATGAAGTGCTTGCCTAAGACGTTCTCTAGCTTTAATCCGCTTCTGGTTGAATATTATGATTAGAATCATTATAAATACCAGGAACTAAAAATATAGAACATACACAAACCCACGCGAACTCATGCATTTTAATTTTTTTAACTCATTTTAAACAATCGAACGGTTATAGGTGTGGTTCGCGTGTTTTTAAATATGAATTTGGGCCATTGCAATGCTCTGCCAGCTTCACCACACCTTGATTGAATTTATAAATAAATAATGCTAAACCTTGCTGTGAAAACTTGTAAAGAGGGCGTTTTTGCGGTGCGTAGATGGCGCTAGTAGTGTGTTTGAGTCGATTACTACCTTTTGTTGCTGTCTAGAGTTTTGTTTTGTAATCAAATAATATTCTTCTATAGGATATTTAGGGATAAATGATAGATCTAGGATATTGTAGATCTTTTTAGACATTCGTTCTAACGATTGTGTGAAATATGGCCAAATAAATGCATTTTCTTTCTTCTTTCTTTCTCTCAAATAGGTAATGTAGAATTGGAATCGCTTAGTTATTAATTTCGCCAGTTCAAAATAATTAATCATTCGTATCAAACTGGTCTTAATACTCCTTTTCTTTTGTTTCAGATTCAAATCAATCTACGATGACCGACCGAAAACGTTACGTCAAATAAAAACAAAAAAAAACGTCTAAAATGACATAAACACAACACAAATGACAGTTGTAGGCCAGTATTTTCGAATTTTTAAATATAAGTTTTTTTTTAGTAATAATATGTGATCAATAAAACCTTTTTACTTAGCGTGTAAAGGCCAGTAACTATTTTTAAAATTATGTTAAGCTATTATTCTTCTGTGGAGTACGAAACAATGGTTCTTTGTAAGTATACCTACATTTTGTCTTACATTACTTAACTACATAAATTATTTAACTGTATTAACATGATAAATGCGAAAGTTTGTGTGTATATTTGTTACTCAGTCGAATGGCTGAAAGGATCGGGGTGAAATGTGATATAGGCAGGTTTATGGCCTAGAGTAACATATAGGCTAATTTTATCCTACAATAAAGCGGACGAAGCTGTTACCAGAAGGTAGTGGGTACTATAATATATACAATAAAGCCAATGAGAGCCAGACTCGAGCGTACGGCACGTCGCGTTCCGCGCGCGCCTCAAATAGCCATCAGACCACCACGGATGGGACCCCACAAGGCTGAGGCCAATTCGGAGTCGCGGAGAACCTAACGGGTTATCGGGGCTCCGGCTCGAAGTGCAAGAAAAGGAAAGGGCTGGTTTTAGTCAGTAAGAGTCTGACACTGCCTCCCGCCTCACCCAGGCGGGAGCAGTCATTCGATGATTTCCCCCATTATAAAAAATACTTAGTATACATATTCATCGAGTTATGTTAATTTACTATTGTTAATGAATATAATTTGTAATGAAGATCCATTGCTATCGAGGTCAATTATGTCGTATTTCATTCATAGTTTGCGATCTGCATTATTTACTGCAACTACTACCTTGACAGCTTAATTCAATTGTAAAGTGTACTGTCGGCCGATCTCAAACATTTGACTGTTTCTAGCCGACCCTAGGCTGGATACAATTTTCGTTTATCCTAAATCAAGGAGGGATGGTTTTTGGCTTACCCTTTCGTGGGAAATGGGCGGATATCGATCTCGATTATTCACAGAAACTCCACACACGACTAATGTTAAAAATCTTTAATTTTGGCCGGAGTTAAGTCCATATTTTTTTTTTTGGGATAAGCCTGTAAACGAGCAGTCGAATCACCTGATGGTAAGCAATCGATGACGCCCATGGACACCCGAAACACAAGTGCGTTCCCAGTCTTTTGGGGATTAGGAATTTGAGGATTGTTAGGAATTCAGAGATTAGGGAAGCTTAATTGAGCCTCCAGTAACATCACTCGCGACGAAATACAACGCAAGCGTTGCTTCACGTCTGTTTTCTGCTCGGCCGTGGTATCACTCCGGTCGAGCCGGCCCGTTCGTGCCGAATTTAAAAATTCCCGTGCTGCCTTTGCAAAATGTGAGGGTTATAGCATGGCACACCCTTTATAATGCTGGGGCTACATTAGCGGGCGAAGATTCGTATCGCGTTGGTGCGCACAACATCCGTTATCGGCCATATACGATGTTGATGAAGAATTTGTCTACATTGGCGGTTGAAGACTGAGAAAGCGGAATACGGCAAACATTCGTTGTTAAGATGTGCGGTCGAGACGATGGAGCTAGCAGTTTTCGTTACTCCACTCTAAAGTGTACTAAAACACAAGAACATCAAACAACAAACAAACAACCACTCAAGCGTGTGGCCACTCAAGCGAATATTGACGCGACAAGTCCTTTTATCGACAGTGCTCCGATGTTACAGCGTCTGCACGCGAGTACACCGCGTTCTAGCGATGTACCCAGCCACATACATCTATTGGCCGTAGCCCGCTAATGTAGCCCCGACTCGACCCCGAAAAAGCCCGGCTTTAAACCCCCTCTTATTGAAGTCTGTTAATCAATACCTATACTAATCTATTCCTAAGCGTAACAAACACTTTTCTGAAAACTCGCGAAATAATCGTACATAAACATAGATACATACAGGTCACCCTGAAAACCCTTTTTTTGTTAAAAATGAAAAGATTTTAGAAATTTTGGTGGTTAGATGCGTCTTACTGACTAAAAACCACCCCGTTCCTTCTCCTGCACGTCGAGCTGGAGCCACGGTAACCAGTTAGGTTCTCCGCGATTTCGAATCGGCATCAGCCCTATTGGGTCCCATCGGTGGTGGTCTGATGGCTCTTTGAGGCGCGCGCGGAAAACGACGTGCCGTGCGCTCGGGTTTGGTTCTGGTCGGGCGGCGAGCCACCCATGCTCGCCGTCCGCAGGCCCGCGCTTACGTTGGCCAGAGATGTCCCGCGATCCCCGACGCCCGGAGTGTCCTTCGCGAAGGCTGGGTGGCGAGGAGGCAGCGCTTCGCTGCCTTACGCGTCCCGCCTCCTCCTTAGCTAACATAACTGCTTATGTGCCGATAGGATAAGGAATATTTTATAAACGAGGCTGGTATTTCTTCGCTGGCTCTGTATTTTATTGTGATGGATCAGTACTGGGTCGCAACATATTCGAATCGTCGATACTGGTCGCAGATCTAAAATTCAAATAAATAGCTTATAGAAAAGTAACCTACCCACAATATTAATGACATGAGCATCAAATGAACAAGTACTTGAGGTGTGGCAAGTTGTGTCAAAATAGAGCGGCGATGACTCGACCTTGCTATCTGTACATCGCTAGTTTAACTAGTCTTTGAGTTAAGGTGAAGTCTTCGTCAAAAGTAATCGAAAGTAAGTGTGGGAGAACCATGCTTCGGCACAAATGGGCGGGCTCGACTGGAGTGATACCACGGCCTCACAGAAAACCGACGTGAAACAACGCTTGCGTTGTATTTCGTCCTGTGAGTGAGGTTACCGGACGCCCAATTGCCCCTCCCTTCCTTTCCCCAATTTCCCTAATCGCTGAATCCCCAACAATCCTCAAATTCCTGATCCCCAAAATGCCTGTGGTGTTCCAGGTATCCATGGGCGACGCCGATGGTTTAACATCAGGTGATCCGTAGCTTCAACAATTCTTCTGGTGTTATTGGTGGCGAATTACGACCTGGTAATCCATTTGCTAGATTGTCATATGACAAGATTCGTTTGCGCTCGCTTTTTGATTCCCAGAGAAATAGGCAGAGGTGCACCTAATTATACAGTACTATCCACTCCCGCGCTATTTCACTCGCTCAGCTCTAATTCATCTGTTTTATAATCTATAGCTTCTCTCGATGAATGGATTATCCAACACAAACATAATTGGGTACTTGCCAACTAGTGAAATTCAATACTTTTTTCGAACTGTCAAAAACGACAGTTTTTTTATGAATTTTGTACGAGATTGTGTATTGTGACGTCACGTTTTTTAGCGTCAAACACAACATATTATTTCTTAAAAAAATGCTGAAAAATATTAAACTTAAGTTGGTAATAAAATCAATTAATGAAAGTGTGACTATTTTTTAATATTTTATTGTATTGAACAGTCGAAATAATTTATTTTTGATTAAGGAAAGTAGCCAATTATTCAATCGGTCGTTGTTTGCGTAGATTAGCACGTTCAAAGATTCAGAATAAGGTAACACCCATTTTTGGCAATTTCTTTTTAATTTTGTGTTTTAAGTAATCAGTGTGAACCTCTTGAACATTCTGATATAATCTGTTTAAATTCACGATCTAAGATCTTCTGTGGCATCGATTATGGTATCTTTGGGAACTCATCCTGTCAGATCAGTGCTCCTGTCAAATTGTGTTTTATGTTTGTGCGCAATTCCATCGCTTCTAAGATGTGTATATCTTGTCGCATTATACCCCTTAAGTCGCAGGCGCATCAAGTGAGATCGTGTCGCAATACTTCGAGTTGATGTACATTTGGACACGAACTCGCCTTTTTATCAACCTCACTTTAGATATTTCAAATGTTTACCGTCTCATGTTAGTCGTGGAGAACCTAACGGGTTACCCCCCCTCCGGCTCGACGTGCAGGAGAAGGAACGGGGTGGTTTTTAGTCAGTAAGAGTCTGACACTCCGTCTGTCTGATTTTTCCCCCTTAAAAAAACCGTCTCATGTTAATCTCAATGTGTTTCTCTTTTCTCAGTAAAATATATGATTGATTGATGAACAGATGTATCTTTATGATTTTTTTGATTAGCTACACCATAAGCGCGGCATTCAAGTGAGGTGATTCGGATTTTATTGTCACTCTCAACTAGCTTCTGCCAGCGGTATCGCCCGCGTTTCAATGGAATAAAGTAGCCAATTCCAGACCATAATCTCCATCTGTTCCAAATTTCATCCTGATTACTTCAGCCATTTTGTCGTGATTGAAATGATTTGAAATGATATTTATTTCTGCTTAAAGGTTACAAAAAAATACTAGGTGAGGGAAGAGTAAAAAAATGAGGGACTGAGTAATAAACAAACAGACAAACATAAATTGCGTTTATATTATAACATAACATCACGCCTTTTGTCCCCGAAGGGGTAGGCAGAGGTGCACTTTATGGCACTTAATGCCATTGTACAATTTAAACTGTAAAACACCAAGCGGTCACCGGTGACCGCAACCTATTGGTCTATAATTGTGTCTACAAAACCGGTACTCGACGAGTTAAGACCCACTTTTCACTATTTATGTTATGAGCCCCATGTAATAGGGGGTGAGCCTATTGCTATATACCGGGCACAATTCCAGGCTCCGTGCTACTACTGAGATTTTTCAAAAAACCCAGTAATGTTTATAATATTATAGTAGGAAATATGCTTTCCTTATGTTTTTTGAGTTTATTTAGACCTCTTTCGATCTGCACCTAAGCGGACATTTCATTATTTTCCGACCGCCACAAAAGCGTGAATCCATTAAAATCGATATGGCTTTCCAAAATGGTTGTATGTGGAGGCGGCTTCAAACCCTCGAACACAGGCGTAAGGTTAATCAAATCAAATCATGTTTATTTGCTCAAACACATGTGTACATACAATAAACAATAGCATGTAAGATAGCGGGTAGCAGTGAAAAAAGTGCAAGGTTGCAAGCCTTTCAATCTTCTACCGGATACATTTCGGAGAGTGTGCCCGGAATTGCACTACTTGATTTCCCCTAGTCTTTTCCATCATCGTACCACAAGAAAATCATCGAAGCGTCACCGATCCATGGTAGATGTCTCACCCACACGCACGAAGCGCTTCGCATCAAGCTTCCTTGTGCGTACTGCTAAGGAGTGGAATTCTTTGCCAAAGTCTGTATTTCCTGAAGGGTATAACCTGGGAGTCTTCAAGGCCCGAGTGAATAGGTTGTTTATGGGATGACGTGCTGCATCGTAGACCGCATCATCGCTTACAGCTAGGTGAGATAGTGGTCCAACTTCAGCCCCATTTATTATAAAAAAAATGCGCATAACTTCTGAATGATTGCACCAAATACGATATTTAAAATGAACAACAAGGTTTATCATTTTAAAAAGAAGTAAACAAATCCACAATGAATGTCAGGAAGTAGGACACGAATGAAGCCGAGATGGACTACTAGTTTAACAAATAGGCCTTAATAAATAGCACTTTTTGAGGTCCATAAAAAGAAGAGGTCTAATGACCTTGAGAGCTGTGAGTGCCTCGAATGTTTAGAAGGTCAATAAAGAGGTCAAATCGTGTCCGGTTGTACATCATAGTGGAATTGCAACATTGTTACATGATCTTGTTACCTCTTTAGTGGGTACGATAATCAGGTCGATCTAGAAGTTGGGGAAGCCTATGTGAGGCAGTAAAAGCATGATGATAATATATTTTTGTAAATAAATAATCTTTATTACGCAAAAACATATAATTTTAAGTGTGGGAGAGCCATGCTTCGACACGAATGGGTCAGCTCGACCGGAGTAATACCACGGCCTCACAGAAAACCAACGTGAAGCAACGCTTGCGCTGTGTTTCGTTGTGTGAGTGAGGTTACCGGAGGCCCATTTACCCCTCCCCTTTCCCAATCTCCCCATTCTAAGAATCGCCAACGATCCTCAAACTCCTAATCCCCAAAAGGCCAATAAAAAAAATATCTAGGTCATAAAATCAATTATGAAAGTATGATTATTTTTTAAATATTTTTTTGTATCATGAACAGTCGAAATAATTTATTTTTGATGAAGGCAAGTACCAAATTGGAGGCACTGAAATGCAACTTAGCATAATTCTGCTACATCTCTTTCAACATAATAGATATCTCCATTATCGATTGGCTCGTGGACCGAGTGGTCGCACGTGGAAGTGCGACTGCCGGACAAGGGGTCTAGGGTTCGATTCCCGGGTCGGGCAAGTATTACTGGGTTTAAAAAAATCTCAGTAGTAGCACGGAGTCTGGAATTGTGCCCGGTATATGGCAATAGGCTCACCCTGTATTACATGGGACTCATAACATAAATAGTGAAAAGTGGGTGTTATATTGTACAATGGCATAATGTGCACCTATGCCTACCCCTTGTCGCGGAGAACCTAACGGGTAACCGGGGCTCCGACTCAACGTGCAGGAGAAGGAACGGGGTGGTTTTTAGTCAGTAAGAGTCTGACACTCCCTTCTGCCTCACCCAGGCGGGATCAGTCAATCGATGATTTTCCCCCCTTAAAAAAAAGCCTACCCCTTCGGGGATAAAAGCCGTGATATTATGTTATGTTATATCTGCAATATAATCATGCGTTTTTCTCTCATGTATTTTGACTTTAATTACTAAAACATGATCAGAGTTGCTTTTAATTATAAATTAATATTAATAACTAAGCCAACGAGTAGAGGTAAACTTGTATAGGATGAGTTGTTGCCACTAGGTGAAGGCCGCAAGATGGCGGTGTTACTATGCGCGTGCGCACCTCCCGTGATTTTTTGTAAAATGTCTTCTGTAACTAGTTTGATTTGAAAATTATTTAACATTACATAACATCACGCCTTTTATCCCCGATGGGTTTAGTTTAGCAGGTGCACATTACGGCACTTAATGCCACTGTACAATGTAACACCCACTTTTCAATATTTATCTTATGCGTCCCATGTAATAGGGGATGAGTCTATTGCCAAAAACCGGGCACATTATCAACTCTGTGAAAAAAAATCTCAGTAGTTACTGAGATTTTTTTACTGAGATTTAGTACTGAGGTTTAGTAGGTACTGAGATTTTTTAAAAAAACCCATTTATACTTTGCCCTACCCGGGAATCGAAGCCGAGGCCGAAGGGTCTCGGTAAGGGCATGCGGCAGTCGCGACCGCTCGGCCAACGAGGCAGTTACTAAATAAACTCGTACATCTCTGCCTGTCCCCTTTCAGACACACAGGCAAGATGTTATCGTGTCTAGAAGCCTATAGCAAGGTAACAACAAATTCAGTTACATCAAATCGCTCGCGTTATAGTGAAAGCGCAAATGTTAGGTTCCCACGATACAGTTAGCTGGCGGTGAGAGGACGCGCGGACGGTCAGCTTGTCGGACGATTTGTTCGTAGGACATTCAGCCTATTAACTCGTTGAGTACCGTCATTATAGACACAATTAAAGAACAATAGGTTGCGGTCACCGGTCACCTCGCGGTGTTTGACAGTTTAAAACAGAAAGTTTCAAGCCATACGATACCAGCTCATCATGGTCTCGTTTTGTATTATCTTTTCGCATGTTTAATCGTCAGTTTATACTGGTTTGATTTGATTATATGACAGTATACAGTATCGACTGGCTCATTATGTGGTCGTGTGGTCGTAAGTGCAACTTCCAGACAAGGGGTCTCGGGTTCGATTCCCGGGTCGAGAAAAATATTCATATATACATAACTTCACGCCTGTGTCCCATGGGGTAGGTATAGGGTGGTGTTTAGTCTGTAAGACTCTGACACTCTCGCCTCACCCAGGGTCAGGACTAATTTGATGATTTTACCCCTTAAATAAAGCAGAAATTCCAATGTTATCCAATTTATTTCACCATGTGTAGCTTGCTCCCATACAAGGTCAGCTGTCATTTTATATGTAGTTGCATGCTTATGTATGTACTTGATGTGACCTAGGTCATAGTATCCGGCCATCGTTTGACGTAGTAAATCCTATGATGAGTTCTCTCTAAGGCGGCCTACAAATAACAAATGCTTGTATCTTGTTGGAAATAATTAAAACCTTTCACTAAATCGCAACGTCAAATCCACCTATCTGTCGCGGAGAACCTCGGTTGCCGGGGCTCCGGCTCGAAGTGCAGGAGAAGGAACGGGGTGGTTTTTAGTCAGTAAGAGACAGTCCCTCCTGCCTCACATAGGCGGGAGAAGTCATTCAATGATTTACCCCCCTAAAAAAAGTCTTAAGAAACAGATGTCCTTCGTGTCAATGTGTGTGTATGTTCTGCATATAAGTCTATAGTAGCCAGATGCCACAGTCGTTGTTTCAAGAGACTATGTCCGCGTTATTTTAATGTCCTTGTGATGTCAATATAATTCATGTTATGAATTATTTATCTATTTGTTGCAGGATGAAAGAGAGGGCGCGGGGCGTCGAGGAGGCGTCGTGCTGCCCTCTACAATGGAGGTAACCACTTTATAACTCACAAATGCGTGATAATAGCAACTTATAACGGCCATTTTCTATAACCTATCTATCTGTAGATATGCTTACTTTGATAGAATTTTGACATAAGCTCCATACAAAATGTGTTTTTGAAAATAGCCGTAAGTGGCCACTGCTGACCAAACTTCGTCTCATACGGAGAAGGTTTGAGCATTAATCACCACGCTTGTTCAATGAGGGTTGGCGATTTAAAATTTATAATTAGAAATTAGGAGCCCAGGTTTCCTCGCGATGTTCTCCTTCACCTCTCTGATGTCTAAATAATCTTAGAAAGTACATACATATAAACTAGGAAAACGTTACAATGGTACTTAATTTAAAAATAATCTTAGTAGTAGCATGGAGTATAGAATTGTGCCCGGTATATGGCAATAGGCTCACTCCCTATTACATGGGACTCATAACATAAATAGTGAAAAATGGATGTTACATTGTACAGTGCCGTTATGTGCACCTCTACCTTCCACTTCGGGAATAAAAAGCGTGATGTTATGTTATTATTATGTTATGCTACTTG